CGGTCAGCGACAAGTGCAGATATCGTAATCGTAGCACGTCACGTGAATGTTCGGGTTTGCCGACCAGGTCGTGACGAGGCTCATCTTGGTGCCTAAATCTGGGTTGTTGCTCAGTGCACAGATAATAGAGAACAGCTACAGCACAAATCTTCAGTACAAGCGCACACACTGTGATTATTAAAGGTTATTAACCGTCAATCAGCCCTGGGCTCTTCATTTGGACCACAGAGCAATGATTCACTGGTGAAGAACTTTGGCACAAGATTGTTGTTTATTTTGGCGTACATCGGTGAACTTTGATCGCGGTGTTGTGATGACATGTGTATCCATTCGCTTTCCCTCTGCAGCGTTCTGGATGATGCAAAAACATTCAGTTTATCAGTGCAAATAGCCTTTGTTGCTCAGCAGTATAGGATTTAGTTGGTTAGGGAGATACTGAAGCTTGATAAAACATAATGGCAATTTGGACGACGACTAAACGAAGATGACGAAAGCCAGCCCCTAAAAGTCTCTGCCACACGTCAGGGAGCATGGGATTTCGTCACGATTATTGGTTCTAAATAAGATCATGAACATTATGTCAGCAGAAAACGACTTCGATGCACGTGCGTGCAAACGCCAAATAATAAAGAGCCTGAGGACTGACGGAGAGCTCTGAAGAGAACTATAGAAGGCTTTTGAGGCAAAGAACAATTGTCTCATGTTTTAAATAATTTTATCAGCTGCTCCAAGAAAAAATTAGATGTTAGTGGAACGGTTCGCACAAAGGGTGGGATCTCAGTCTACTAATAGAAACGTTTTGAGCAGTAGACTTAGCCCTCTGCAGAACAGTTGAGGTAAGCACCATCAAACCACCTTCCGGAGAAAGTAAATGAACCCAAGTGGGGCGTTGATGTCATTCACTATTGGCAACGGAACCATAGAGTGACATATCATCAATTCAGCGCAGCAAATCATTTAAAACTAATGGTTTGTATCCTTAGCTCTTCGAACATGGTGTAGAGTTTGTAATGGTTGACCTAGCGCTCCTACTACAGAGTGCGGAAAAACATTCTACAGGATAGAGCATTTCAGCGATGACCTATTTTCAAAAAGAGTGCCGGAACATTGTACAAAAAAAATATCGGTTCGTCAACCTTGTGTATACAGCTTCCAATGCTCCTCTGGGATTATCCTATGCAGACTGATTCTTTGTCGAGAGTTAGATTCGTGAGAATCTAGCTGGGTTTTGGCGTGCTCAGAGTTTCATCGATCAGGTCTTCATCTCGCGAGAAGTGCTGGGACTTTCTTTCTGACGATCAACAGTAACCGTATTTCTTAATCTCAAATCTGCCTTTTACTCAGAAGATCATCTGCAACCGCCTGTGTCTAGTAATGAAGAATGTCCATTCTAAATTCTCATCTCTGATAGAGACTTTATATGCTCTTTCTGTAGACGCGTAGATGTTTATGGTTAAGCAATGTTTTCAGTTCACTCCATCCAGTAGTGTTGTAAAAGGATTTTTGTAAACCTTTCCCTTTAGCTGAACTATCGACGTGCTTCCCGAATCTTTCCTACCTGCCTCTAACACCCTGGGTATCGAAGCACTCCTGAGCATTCCCTGAAGGGCATTTACTATGTCGACGATGTTGCTGTTTTTCGAATCACACCCTTTGGAAATGCAAACTGTCAACTAATCTAAATAATTTTACATCACTATACGGTGTGTGATCCGCGCCTGTGAATTGCTACATCAAGATAGTGGAATCAAACTCAAACCTTACGCTTGATAACAAACCGATTAATGCAGTAGATCAGTTCGTTCACCTTGGCAACCTGGTAAGTTCTAATCACTTCTCAAATTGGGAAGGCTAGAACAGCATATACTAATCGCCGGTGTTTGTGGAGTCAAAGGTGGAGTGTTAAATGTGGAGTACACAATGCCGCGATCCGATTCGTCCTCTGGTATGGATCAAAGTTGTTGCCTTTTTGTGTAGAAAGCACCTGGGAAGTGCGTTTGACCGTCGGTGGCTCCGAAGCATTTAACAAGTCTGGTAAGAACACCAGACCAGTAGTGCTGGAGTATGGCAGATGGCTTTTGGAAAGTTTGTTCTCCCTCAAAAGATCAGCTGGTCACAGTCCACAGGTTACGCTGTATGGGTTATGTGCTTCTTATGCCGGAGAACCGTTTGTCTCGTAAAACTTTGGGTCGGATGGAGATAAACCCGGAGGCCATCAGTCCATGACCAGGCAATGAGGCATAAAAGCACTTGTCTGCCACACCGGACAAACCGAATAACTTAACTTCAAAAACAAACAGCTCATGGTCGTAGTTCATAAGCTGGCTTTTGGATGTTTTTAACTCATCAAATGCCTCAATTTACATCGTTGGCACTTCCCGAGCAGTCAAGAGCGGGGACCCTCCTTCGGTCTTTTATCGGTGGCCCCTCATAAAAATGCTAACCCCTGCAGTTACACGTACCCAATGGTTGGGGCCATGTACCTATTTCACATGTAGAGCCGGTACTGCCAGGAGCTTATGTCAGCTTATTAAGCTCGTTTTAGGAATTGTTTGCATTTGCGCTTGTTTGTCAACAGATTGTCTTGTTTGGCATTGCCATGTATCCTGAGCAAACAATCAAAAAGGTCCGGTTTGCTTCCAGCCTACTGTTGCTATTTAAGCAAAGAAGTTGGGCAGGAGATTTTAAATCCACCCTTAGGCAGCTTCGGTAATTCATCATTATCAATGACAGTATCCTCACCGGCAGCGCAACTCTAAGGGAAGTAAGCCCTAGCAAAGTGCTGGAAGAAAAGGGAACATTAGGGACCTAGTTCGAATAAGTCCCGTATACCCAAGTAAGACGATGGAGAATCAGGTGTTCTGCACCTTCGAATGTATTAACACACCATTTCACAACCATAAGAAATTGCCTGGATTGACCCAGCGTCCTTTTCGAACCTCAACTGCAATAATTTCAGAGCAAAACAACAAGCGAACCTTAACTAGACAATGTAGCTAGGAAGTGATGGAACGGACTAAGTTCTGCAAGATTTCTAGCCACGTGCAATAATTGTCATGTGGGCTTCAGACAGAAAGGCACGGTGGTCTTAAAGACTCAGTTTGATTGCAGCTGTTTTTATTTCAAGTTGTCACGTCGTGATCCGTCCTCCGTGAACTTTTGGCCAACAATTGCTTGGGTGCAAGGTGGTGAGGCATATGTACTGCATGTCGCATCCACCGGCTGATGGGTTTGATCTGCTGTCCAGGCTATTCTGACTCATTATCAAGAACCCCCTTACGTTCCAATTTGTTGAGTACTGGCTTTAGTGGAGAAGACAAATCGGTTGATGTGATCGCGTGACAGCGGATGTGTCATAACGGGCAGTTTTGATAGAAATCCCTTCAGAATTGAAGCAGTCTCTGAGAATTCCCTCAGGTGTGCTTGCCACTGAACTCATACCACCTTCATTGGACCAGCATTGATATAGACAATGAGCAATTGCGCAAAAAACGGAATTGATTGTAACCGGTCAAGTAAACTCATTTTCAAATACCATTGGTGTCAGTAAGGTACTTAACCAAAGTCGTCATTTGTGCTGCACTCCGGGTGACGACTCTGCACAGAGGCCACCTCGTGTTTCATTTGCAGTAATATCAGGTGAATTGCAGATTTTTTCATAAGATACCGTTCATAAGTTTGCTGGAAACCACTTATCAGGCCGGGTTCTCCATGCACCTTACCAACGAGTGC